AGGCAGGCAGATAGACAGATAGACAGATAGAGAGACAGACAGAAACAGAGATAGAGATAGAGACAGAGAGAGAGAATGAAAAAGAGAGAGACAGACAGAAAAAGACAAAGAAAGAAAAAGAGACAGGGGGAGTATCGATTATAGGTGTCGAATGGTATTTGGGTACTATACTGCGAATATGGGACAGAAACGAGCAAAATCGAGGGGGGGGGATGGGACGGAACCGAGTAGTGAAACATAGAAGTGGAACGAAAACGGGTGTACCGACGGCGAAATCCAAAAATTAAAATTGTGGGACAAAACAGCTTATCCCCATGAAACTTCCTTCTTACTGGAAACCCAAACGGATACAACAACTTGTGGAAACACGATACGTTAGAAAATTCAAACCCCAGAATGGTGTTTAATCATGCCGTCTGTTAGAAATAAAAGCACATAAAGGGAAAAAATCCACAACCCACCTTTTATAACACAGTAAGCAGCCAGGTTTCTGTCCTCACTGAAAGACGCTCTCCAGGCTGCAGGAAATTTAAACCTCAAGAGATAAGACCAATCTCTCGTTCAAGCTCCTTGGTTCTCCCTATCAACTTCCAGTCTCTTTACACTTGGATTACCATTGGGTCCGGTGGTCGTCTCAAACCTGTAGTACTATGGGTGTTGGGTAGCCGTTTTCTGTAATAAAAAGAAATGACGGAAACACTTAGGAAACAAACGATTTAATTCTGTCTCGCTTAACACCTAAACCAGACAGACCGACGAGCTTTTGGGGAGGAGAATTCGTCCTTGGGCAACGTGTCTACATTTAAATTTAAACGTGTACATAAAGAATTCCCATATCTGTCAATTTGTGTTACGGTAACGGTATGGCGGTTGGGTCTAAGAACGCTTCTAGAGATAACCTGTGTAACGGCGGAAGGACATTCTAGCACTTCAGTAAACTTTTATCTGGGCGACATGACAATTATTTCGCAAACTGTGGTTGGGCGTATACATTCAGAACCAAAGAGAAGACGAATGTCCACGTTTTTCTTACCTCAGCAACAAAAGTACCTCACAAAATAGTTAACATAATAAAGTAGTTCGTAACAGAACTGGCAAACATATTAAATCGTTTTCATGGCTTATTCTTGCGTAACAGAGCAATTATCACAAGAACGAACGGCATGCGCCTCGCAACCTCAGAAAAGTAAATACAAAGAAGTCTAACTCTTTTCAGTTCAAGCATAGAGATGTTAAAATTTAGAATTCCTTTCGTGCAATGTGCGGTTATCTATCATTCATATGCCTGCTATAGGGTGGCAACTCCATGGACCAGATTTCATGCAGCAACTAGGATCATCCTAGACGGTATGAGTATCATACGAATGTTGAATATCTTCCCCGTGTTGTAAGCGACCACTGGGTCAAAAACTTCCAAAAAGACCGGACACGCACTTTATTCGCGTTGAGGGAGAAAAAAAAACCGGCAGAGATCTTTAGAAATAAATAATTTCTCATACATATCAACAGGGCTGCTTATTCGCTTGGCTTGGTTTTTAATAAATGATTTACTACGCCATAGTCAAGCTTTTAACAACAGTTGCAAATGATCCCACAATGTTCAGTTGTAAATAAATCAACAGGAAACGATTTAAACTCATTTCATTTGGGACTCTTCTAGCCTTATTTCACAGTTTGTTTATTTGAGTGAAGAGAAGCACATTTGCACAATAATGGTCATTTTGTGGTGGAAAAAATAAGGCAGGCAGGCAGAAACAACAAAGGGAAAGTAACGTAGCAACCTCCTACCGCCTGCGTCACTTCACAGTAAAAGACAGACTATAATATGGATCAATCAAAGAAGACCCAGAGGTACCTAAAAGGTCACATCAACCCTCTACTCACGGTCAAGGGAAGACTGGTGTCTGTGGAGTAGCTCTTCACCATTGCACACAGAAGACATGAGTGCGATTACCGTGGGGGGGGGGGGGTGTTGTCACCAGGTATGTCAGTCTGTCCTCTGGAATGTTTATCTCTTCCAGCCGGAAAAACGAGAAAGGCAAAAAAACGTAACACGAGAGCACGGTCGTTACATCCCCTGACTATAGGGTAGGTAAGATCGAGCACCAAGACTTCTCGGACAAGTACATTCCGTTCACCTTTGTTTACATTGACGATTAAAAATTTCCTCTTAGCAAATCAGTCCCGTGCAGAACATCTCAAACTGTTGCCACGACGTTCTTAAATCCAGTCAGCCAATGGTCTGGAAATCAAACTAACCAAATGGAATTTTTGTGTGAGTGATTATATTTCCTTGGGCATCGAATTACCTATCAGGGAATACACCCCCTTACGCGAGCCAGTAGAAGCCCTCCACGACTGCTTCTACCGACCTCACCAGCCCCCAGTTTTCTTGGAATTATGAATTCCTATCACCGATTCATCCCACAAGTAGCTGACTTCTTAACTTCACTCCATGCTCAGGCAACAGGCAAATGACAAGCCATCGAGTTGTCCATAGAATGCCAAACTGCATGTGAAAAAGCTAAAGAGGCAACTCAACGAGAAGGTACTGTTACACCGTCCCCAGTCAGACGCGCCTTCAAGTCTTACTGTACATCCATTCAATGGTAGGTGAAATGGTGAAATGGTATAGGTTTAACGCCCCTTTCAACACTATAAGGTTATTCAAGAGGCGGGAACTCCACTAGTGGAGAATCTTTGGTGACATAGCACAAGTGCGCACTATTTTTGCAACAACTTCACAGGGCTACTCTGCACCCGTAAGGAAATATAAGAGTGGTTATGAGTGAGTATTTAACAGTTCCGTATAGAAGTATTGACTGGCCTTGTTGAGTTTCAATAGCTGATAAAACGGCATTGTACGTAAAATCAACAGCACTATGTGGTGAGGATTACAAAGGCAGTTTCTCCCTGAGCTCCTTCAAGGGTATCAAAAAAGGAAAAAGTATCGTGAAAAAGTAAGACACAAAAGAGCGACAGAAGAGAAGTAGGACCTCCATCTACCATCGAATAAGTCAAGTGGCACAATGTGTCGACAGACGTTTGAGAAAGACTTTTCTATATAATATAAAACCAAAGGGAAGCCCATAGAGAGCTCCCTTCGGCTTTCGTCCTTATCTTCCACTTTTAACGACAAATACACAGTAGGGCCTCCCTGACACTTCGTTGGTAGGAAATACACAGCCTTTGAAACTATTTTTACATGGTCTTTGTATAAGTTGTTGTTATCACGCAAAGTCAAACTGTAAAACATACAAACTCAAACGATCGCTTTTAAGAACAAGGGGGCTATGCCGAAAAATGCAGTTTTGAGAAGATCGAAGGTTAAGTTTTTGCCCCTTGTTCAGTTTCTTTAAAAGACAAGGAGAGTTTTCTCTACAACCAAACAAAATATACACACCAATGAAACTAAACTTCTCCTATAGGAAGGACAATGCCCACTTTTGGTGCAGGTCAAGACTTCTGGAAACCACCGAAATCTGGGTTAGCCCGCTTGTCCTTAAAAGTAAAAGCGACCATACGTCACCCTTTCTTCATCTCAGTCACATACAGAAAGTTCTCGCTCAGTTGTTACAAGGTCAGTCTAACCAGTTCATTGGGTGACTGTCACAAAATTTTTCAAGATTAACAGATAACGTTTCTACAGATATTGAGTATCTGGGTTATAGTTCTACAGGACGTTGGGTTACTGGGTTGTAGTTCTACAGGAAACTGAGTTACTGGGTGAGCAGTTTTACTTACTGTTCAAAGCTGACAGTACATCGGTGGCCTAGTGGTAAGGTTCTGGACTGTTAATAGTCAGGTTGTGGGTTCAACTACCGTCAGGGGCCCGATGTTGAGAGAAGCACTTTACACGAATTTTCCTCACTTCACCCAGGTGAGATTGGGTACCCGACTATAGATACCGAAATATCTTTTCAGTGCGTTATTGTTTGAACGCAGCACTTTGCACTGTATGCTTCCTGAAAAGCCGAGGGTGTTTCTGCGTGTTCTGGGGTCTGCGGTGGGGTAATAATAGTTGTAAAGCACAAAGTACAAAGATCATGAGGTACAACGTGGATATGCGCCATATATAATATATATGTATATACAATATTATATTATTCTTTTTCTCTATCTTACTGTATCTCTCTCTCCCT